CCTTGGGTCTCCAAGAGGGCAGGCTCCCATGACGGTGTCATCCACATGGTGACAGTATGGGTGGGAGGCCAGCGTAGAGCTTGGAGCCTCCTTGTGCAGACAGGATGAGAGCAGTCTAGCAGCGCCAGGCTTCGACGGCCCGCGGAGCGTTTCATGGGAAGCTCTGACTCAGAAGCGTTTCAGGAAAGAAGACACGAGGAATGTTTAGACACGAGGAACAGCACACGTCCTGGTCAGCAGCCTGCACTGATGCTGGGCCAGGGATACAGGACGCAAGGCCGGGTTTCCCTGCCTGCCTGGAGACGCCTGTCTGCAGCTGACTCTTTCCCAGGATCCCCCACAGGGTGAGAGGTTGTGTCCCAACCTGACGCACTCATGTCTTCATGCCATTAATCAGAAGTCGCGCGCTCATGGCCCGCCTAGGGTAGGCGGTGTAGCCTCACAGAGCTGAGACTGGTCCAGACCGCAGGGGAGAGATCTAATTTAACGTTTCCTTTGGTTTGTGCTTGCCTGACGGAGGATAAAGATAAGATTTCCAATTGACGGTTTGAAATATTGAACATCATTACCATGAATGCCATTAAGAGCACCAGGGGAGAGCCATCAGCCTGACTCTGCTGGTATCTGATGCGTGCAGGAGCTGCCTGCCAGGACCGAGTCTCTCAGCGGCACAGCCAGGGCCAGGGAAGGCAGCACGTGCCGATGAAGCTGCCACTGCAGGCGCGGCTCCCTGCAAGGAGCTCCTGGCCCAGCGGGCGCGTGGGCACCGCCCAGCACAGTGCACACCGGCGTGCTGTGGGGACGGCAGGAAGCAGTCCTCAGACACCCTCTGTTCCCCAGCACCTGGCAGTGCTCTCTGCGTCACAGGCCCCACCCTGTGAGCCGGGGTCCCTTCTCCATCGCCCTGGGTTCCTCCCGGCACCCCTTTCGTGGCCTGACAACGTGGGTGGAAGGGCTGACCCCAGCTCCCTCTCCCCCAGAATGTTACAATGAGATTATTTTATGCTGCTACCGCCTGCTCTGCCCAGGCCATTAAATATGAGCCTCTCCAGCAGGTCCATGGGAGACCGTCCCCGTCCTGACTCGCTCCCCAGGTGAGCGTTGCCATTCGGGTTTTGGACTCTCCAAGCTGCAGCCCTGCCTGGACTGGCCTCCCTCTCTCTGGGCTTCCTCTGGAGAAAGTGGTGCATGGCAAGACCAGAGCCTGTCCCCTGGCTGTCAGGATGCGATATTCCCAGGAGAAGCCTTGTCCATTTGCCCCTTGCTGCTCTTGGAGTCAGATGCTGGGATGACAGGCAGCACCTGGGGTCGGGCGTGTCTCTGTTCTGATGGCTTTGGGCCCGAGCTGCGTTCTGGGAGTAGCACACTGGCCTGGGGCGAGGATGAGCTTTGGAGTCAGCAGACAGTCAGGTGCGTGTAACACGCAAGGTTCCCTCACCGTGGCACTGTGCCCTCCCGGCCTCTGCGGTTCTTTGTCCAGCCCTCTGTCTCTGAGAACCTGTGGCATTGTGTGCAGATGCTCGTCTGCTTACCAGCACCATGCCAGTGACCCACAGCGTTGCCTGTGGTTTGGGGGCAGAGCTGACCTGTGCTTTCTCCGTTATCTGGTCTCACAGGGGCTCCTGAGGCAGACACATGCAGCGGGAGAGTGTCTACAGCGCTGTCTTCATGGCATAGCTTGATCAGGAGCTATGTCCTCATCTGGGTGCTCTGACATCTGGCATGGCTCTCATTGTGGGCTGAGACTGCTTAGCGACGGCTGGGGAGGCTGACAGGTGCGGGCTAGATGGGAAGAGGGGTCAGGAGCTAGATGGGTAAGTGGTAGGCTGGGTGAAGAGTAGAGTTCGTGGATGGCTGGTTGGGTGACAAGGATCCGTGTGGGGACAGCCAGTGCAGGGGTGGATGGCTGTGTGCGTTTATGCTTGGGTGGGTGATTCAGTGTCCCAACTCACTGATCCCCGCAAAGCCCGCCTGACTTAGGGCCATGCCGATGGCAGGTTCTCGGGCCCAGCTTTTTGAGCTGCATTGGCATGTGTGGTAGAGTCTCACTTGCTTTTCTTCAGCAGCCGTGGTGACTTGTGCCTGAAGCCTTGTCACAGGTAACCCAGTTTCTCCCTGGGGCAGAGGCAGAGCGGGGGGCTGGCAGTTCCCAGGCCCTGACCTCGGCCGTGTTGGGAGGACTGAGCTTGGAGGCAGGAAGCGCAGGCTCTCATGTTCGCTCTGCCACAACTCCTCACGAGAGGGGGCCACTTTGCAGAGCTGGGCAGTGACCGAAGTCCCGTTTAGTCAGTCAGGGCCACTGTGGGGGACACAGGACGGGCACTCAGACTGCAGTGTGCACTCCACTCTTCCAAGGCTCCTCTGAGTCCCTTGTCCCCATGTCTCAAGTGTGCCAGGTAAGAAGAAGCTACTGCTGCGCTTTCCTGACGTCCTAGCTCTGCTGGCAGGACTGATACCGGCTCAGAGACCCAAGCAGTCGGGCAGACTCAGGGTTGGGCTCAGGTGTTGCCCTGGAGCCAGTGTGAGGGCCGAGAAAGAGCAGGAAGCCTCAAGGAGGCCAGGAGTGTGCAGGCCTCCGAGGCCTCCAGGCCTTCCCTGGTGCAGGATCGAGGGAGCCCCGTGTCAGTGGGCACGGGTGCGGAGTGCTGGCAGAGCCGGTCCCTGAGTCACACACCTAAGTCAGCCGGGGGACTTCGAGGAGGCCGTGTCACCTGCGGACTGTTGGCCCGGTGTGAATGGAGCCTTAAGCCTCTGCCTGCAGGGCAGCGTGGCAGCTGAGTGTGCGCGGCAGAGCCCCGAGCGGAGTTGACGCTCAGGACACGTCAGCATGACAGTCTCTTCTGCTGTACGTTATGTTACTGAATGGCGTGCGTAGCGTCCTGTAGAGCCTAGAACGTAGAATCTGTTTACCAGTGCGCGTGGAATGCGCGTCTCACTGAATGGTAGCCATCCTGCAGTTTCCCTTGTGTTCATTAGTAAGTTCCTGGAGGTACACCTACAGTTACAGTGAGGAACAATCGAAGCCACCAAACTTCCGCTTCTGCTCTGGTTCCTGGCACCCTGCAGCCATTCCCCAGATGGGCAGCTCTACCTGCCGACACCTGATCGGGGCAAAGCCTGGCCCCCGGGGACAGCCCCAGCAGCCCAGATCACAAGTGCTCACACTCCACGCCTGCAGCCGCCTTGCTGGTCCCCTCCTTTTGGGACCTGTTTCCTGCCGGTGCTGCGTCCCCTGCTGTGGCCCCTCGAGCCTGTTCTCTGAGGTCCCCAGGGGGCTTTTCTCCAGGTGTCCCAAAGGCCAGAGAGGAGAACACGGCAACCCAGGGACGGCTGGGGAGGCCTCATCCAGGCCTGATCGGATGCAGAGCACCAGCAGTTTGTGTGGGGGTGTGGGGGCCGGCAGCTCTGAGTCCAGCTCCCAGGTAGAAAGATCTGGGCCCTCCTGTGTGGGGCACTGAGGACGGACCAGGCCAGGGCCCGTTGAGGTGGTCTCCGCAGCTTGTAATGTCTGCAGAACACCCTGTCCTGAGCAAGTCTGCCCCTTGCGCGGGGTGGTCAGCCTGGACGGCGCACCCAGAGCTGGGCTCCGGCTTCCGACTCGCCTCACCCGGCCTCTGAAGAGCCAGCACTGAACTAGACGCGGCCGCCGAAGAACCCAGAGAAAGAAAAACCTGGATGCTTTTCGTCTGCAGCCTGGGACGCACAGTGCTGGAGTCTCTGTTTTTAAGCGTGCCGTTCATCTGAGCAGACAGCCTGCCATCCCAGGGCCTGGGAGGAGAGAGAAGGAGATATGTGTACACCCACATGTGCATCTTTATACGGGCAGGGAGCTGCGTCATGCTTCTGCCGGTCTGTATGTAGACAGCCATCCAACTGGAGATGCAGGCACGCGGCTTTGCATACGTATGCTCCGTGTGCATATGGGTAGCCCTGCATCACACGGTGGCGCTCTCGGGAGCACTGGAAGCTGTTTCCGGAGGGCAGTCTACCACGCTGCGAAGGCTGGGTGTGCCTCCTCTGCCGTCTGGAATCCAGGTCGTGTCAGAGGGACTGGTTAGTCGTATGCTCTCTGTTGGGCGGGGCCTCTCCCCCTCTTGCTGTGCAGGATGCCCTCTTGGTTCCAGAGCTGGTAGCTGGCTGGGCACTGCGGGTCTGCCCTCAGCTGCGAGCTAGGCCGTCTGATCCTGCCTCCATCACCTGTTTCCCTCTCTTGCCTTTTCCTCCCAAACCTGTTGAGACAGGCAGTTTGGTTGAGTGCTGTGCCTACACAAGGGAGACCCTGTGGCTTCTCTTCCCGACAGAGGCCCTGTGAGAGGGACTGGGACCAGGTTCTAGCTACTGTAGACCTAGTTCCTGCTCTGGGACAAGGGCCCAGGCCACCGGCTAGGGAGCCCCTGTTTTGGTGGCGGGGAGGGGGTGGTCCCTGTGCCTTGGCTGAGAGGGCTTTAGAGCCACTGCCATCTGCACCTGCTTCACGTGGGCTAGGTGCTCTCATGTCACCCTGGGCCAGTCCCAGGCAGAGTGGGGCCCATGGCCGTGTTTGTCTGCAGGTATAAGGTGGTTGTGAGGGGAGGCCTGTTCCAGCTGCCTGCAGGGGCCTGTGCGTGTCGCTGTAGTGCCTTCCTGGGCTGGAGCCCTCCCTTCACGCAGGACGAGAGGTGCTTCCGCTTGTTGTTCACCTCATGCCTGTGTGTGTTCTCTGCTCAGAAACGTCCATTGTTTTCTGTTAGTCGCAAGCCTGTGCTCGGATCTCTGGGTGTGAACTCCAGTCTATGGAAAACCAGTGCGTTTATTCCCAGGCAGCCCCGGGGCTCCCTTCTGCCTGTGCACCCAGAAGTGCCTTGTCTTAGGGGTCCCACATGACAGAGATGGTTGCAGAATCCCAGCTAACAGGTGCCTCTTTTTTTTCTTTTTTAAAAAGATTTATTTATTTATTATTTGAAAGGCAGAATTACAGAGAGGCAGAGAGAGGGAGGGAGGGAGGGAGGGAGAGAAGGAGGGGTCTTCCATTGCTGGTTCACTCCCCCAGTTGGCTGCAATGGCTGGATCTGGGCCAGTCTGAAGCCAGGAGCCAGGAGCTTCTTCTGGGTCTCCCACATGGGTGTAGGGGCCCAAGGACTTGGGCCATCTTCTGCTGCTTTCCAATGCTATAGCAGAGAGTTGGGTGGGAAATGGAGCAGCTGGGACTCGAACCGGTGCCCATATGGGATGTCAGCACTGCAGGCAGCGGCTTTACCTGCTACATCATAGCATCAGCCCCAAAAGTGCCTCTTAGTAGGTTGTCACTGAGTGGATGATGGAAAGAATGAACAATCCGATAGACTGGACCACACAGCTTCAGTGCTTGCTAATGACATTGGGTAATCAAGGTGACATGAAGTAAAGGAAAGTCCTGTTGATTTGGTGCGATGTTGCACTGCAGGGCTGCACGGTGCAGCCAGGCTCCTGGCCTGTCCTGCTTACCCTTGGCCTCCCGCCTCCCCAGGCGCTGCCAGCCGGGCACAGCTGTGTAACCACAGGGCCGCGGGTGGGGGTAGGACGCGCTTTCTCCAGCTGCATTTCTGCGCTCACCTCTGAGTCCACTGGGACCCTGCAGCCTGGTGCCTGTGAGCTTCCATCGTGGCCCGAGCAGAACCTGCCAATACAGGTGAGCCTGAAGTGACACGGCTGTGGTGTCGGAGACCCTGAAAGTGCGTGCATGCGTGTGTGTGTGTGTGTGTGTGTGTGTGAATTCCTTTAAAGGCATGTGTAAATAGCTACCTCCATTGTTCATCTTCTCCTGAAATAATGTGTTCATTACCTCAGTCTGATTTACGATGTACTTCAGTGCATCCTGCTGGAATCTTTCAGTTTAGAGAAGGAAGAGTATGTTTTGCAGGCGGTGAGGCTGTAGCGGGGCCTGTGGCAGTGGGGTTAGAAAACGGTGGCCAAAGCCAAGCAGGAGGACGGCCCTGGTCACCACCCTCCCCTTGAGGGGTGCTGTTGGCTCTCCATGGGGAGCCCAAGCCCAGGCCAGCCCAGGTCGACATCGGGTCTTGCCGGGTCTGTTAACACAGCTCCTTCTGCCTGGTGCTCCTGGTAGAGCCATCTCTCTGCAGTGCAGCCCTGACCATGTCTCCCAGGCCAGCCCTGTGGAGGCATCGCCTGGCTTCCCTGAAGCTGGGGGCCTGACCACTTCAACAGCCTCTCCCTTACTCCCCTGCAGCCTCCCTGTGGGTCCCCTGCCTCTCCCTCGGTCTGCGGCCCCCTCCCCTGCATTGCCGCTGGCCCTTGAAAGTTCCCGGTCAGCATGCCCTCCAGGAAACCTTCCCAGAAGCCCTGGTCCTGTGTTCTCACTCCAGGGAAGATCCCTCCTCCGACTGTGATCCACTGGCTCACCTGACTGGCCACTCTTGGAAGACGAGGATCCTGTCTGTGACACACAGAAGGCTACAGCTTATCTGTTAGGGTTGCATTTGGCCACAAATAGAAGAAACCCCCACCCCCCAAAAAATAATGGTGGCTTCAGTACCCTGAAATGTCTCAATCGCACAGAAGTCTGGTGGCAGACAGACAGGCCACACTGGAGTGAGGACGGCCACTCCACACCTGCCACCACGTGGACCCTCAGCCTCAGGAGACAGGAAGGGGAGGAGCAGGGCACTGTCCTTGGACCAGCCCCCGCCCTGTGTCCATGGAGCTCTGCACCTAGCTGCAAGGGAAGCTGGGAAGTTCGGGCTTCCCCCGTTACGGGCAGGGGAAGGTGGGGACTGGGAGCAGGTGCAACCTTGGCCGCTCTGCCTCCTTCCTGACGTGTGCACTTTGATGTGGGGCCACATAGGTGAGTATTTGCAGGGGCCTGAGGCAGGGAGCGGGTGTCACTGGATGCCCACCACGTGAGGACGGGACCCTGCAGGTCCTCATGACAGCCCCATAGTGTGCTGGTGGGGTTAGCCCCGCCCCCGGCAGGCAGAAAAGGTGCAGTGACTTCCCCACGCTGTGCAAATGCTAGACCTGGGTGAAAGCCGTTTTCTGCCTGCAAAGGCTGCAGGCTTTGTAGCTGCTTCCAGTCGGAGGCCCTCAACGCTGAGCCGAGGGACACAGAAGCAACAGCAGCGTGTCGGGCAGTGAGCCGGGAACATGGCGGTGGCTGAGGCCTCCCGACCCAGCCCAGCCCGAGGGTCCCAGGCGAGAGCATCTGCGTACCCAGGCAGCCCAGACCCAGCTCTCGAAAGCAGAAGAAATACTTCCTGTAGCTGGCAAATGGGGAGGGCTTGCCTTGCACAGAACAGAGTGTCTTTTTCTTTATTTCTCTGGACTGTCCTCCGGAAAGCTTGCACCAATTTACAGCCAAGCCAGTGCTCAGTGAGGGCTCCTCGCCCTCCCTCCCCAACGTGTAGATTCCGAGCCCCCCGCCTGCGTCCAGGAGCCGGCCAGCCCCAGGCCGCCCTCACTGCCCCTCCTGCACGCTGTGTGTTTCCTCTGGACATGGCCTCGGGGAAGCGGTGGCCCCTCCATTTCTTGGGGAAGAGTGGTGGTGGGCAGCTTGCCTGGGGCAGACGTGGTGCATTCTTACTTGCCCTGGGACAAGGTTAAGGCCTGGGTGTTACCATGGTGGGGTTAGGGAGCCTGCCCGGGCCGAGCCCCTTCTCAGTGCCAGGCACTCTGCCTGGAGACCTGGCGGTTGTCTGGCATGCCTCCATGACACCTGGGCTGGGGGCCAGGACCCTGTGCACAGGAGAGGGCAGTGAGGCTGAGGCATTGTGGTGTCTGAGGGTGCATGGCCGTGCGGATGCACCTTCCTGTGTGTGCCCAGCTCTCCTGGGTGGACAGGCCTGTCTGTCTGGGTGCTAGGGCAGGTATCCTGGGGAAACCTTCCCTGTTAGATGAGCAGGGGATGAGACCAGGAGAAGCCTGTGGGTGCCAGCCTTCTAGGATGTGGAGTGAGGAGAGCCGAGCTCTGTGGCGAGTGCCCAGGGCTGAGGTCTGGAGCCCATCACTGCCTCGGTGGCCAAGGCTGCTGTCTCATGGTGTGGTGGTCCATGCAGGGTGGCCCTTAGCAGCCCATGCTTGTTCCCTGTGCATCTGGAGGTCAAGTCCAGGGGTCAGCAGGGCTGTGATGCCCTGAAGAAGCATCTGGGAGGGAGCTCTCTGTGTTCCTGCCTGTCTGGGCCCGTCAGCCCTCCCGTGGTGGAGCCAGCAAGGGCTGGGCCAGCCTCCTCTGGACGCCATTCACTCTCATCTCAGGACCCTGTAATTCTGTTGGGCTCAGCTGGGCAGGTCCAGGTTCTCTCTGAATGCAGGGTACTGATTGGCTGCCCTACTTCCTCTTGGCCACAGCAGGACCCATGGTAACAGTTCCGGGGGCAGCATCTGTGGGGGCCGCTGTTCTGTCAGTCACATTTGCTGCAGAGTTCAAGGGGAACTGCCCCATCAAGTGGCCTTCCAGGGCCTTCCTCAGGTACTGTGGGGCCGGAGGGACCTGTGGGCAGTCAGCAGAGTCCAGCAGGGCTCTGGCCCCGGCCCTGCCACACCCTGACTCCTCACTTTCACCTCTCCCAGCCTTGGTTGACTCATGTGGAATGTGTGTGCACACACCCCCCCACCCCCCCGTCTTGGCCCTGTTCTCCTAATACCTGTTTATCCAGCATATATGTGAGTACTTGCAGGGTATTGGGCACTGGCTATGACTGGTGAACAAGATGAAGTGGCCCTCCACTCCCGCAGCCTCTGTTCCCACTGCCTGGCCGTCTGGACAGTGGCTGGATGGGACATGTTTGCCAGGTGCATCTGGTGCAGTGGGCACAGCCCTGTCGTGTACCTGCCCCTCACCTCCCACTCTGTGAAACAGAAATACTCATAGCCACCTCCCAGGATTGTAGGGCATTGGACTAAGCGAGGCCTCGCCCCAGGGCATCCTCTCCAGTATGAGTCCAGGTTGGCCAGATGCTGGCTGGTAGCAGAGAGATGGCAGGAACTGTTGATGGTGAGGTGTTGAGCCCAGTGGTGGGAATGGTGGCGGGATGCCCCTCTGTTTCACGCATGCTGTGTGAGGTCCCTCCTGCAATCTGGGGAGGCACAGGACTGCCCCTCCCCCTCTCTGGGCAGCCACACCTTGCATCCTGCACCCACCTCTGCCTGCCCCTCCTCCGTGGGCACCCAGGCTCCTGTGCATAGGGGGCTGTGATGGTGGCTCAGGGCAGGAGCATGGGAGATGTTGATTCTGTTTACCAATGTGGAGAAACACCCACTGAGTGTGCGTGTGTGTGTGTGTGCATGTGTGTGTGTGTGAGGGCTGCCTGAAGCCCCCGTGTCAGCGGGGGGGGGGGGGGTGCCTGTGCCTGCCGGTAGAAGCAGGAACCTGCTCCCGATAGGAGCTGGAAGCTGGGTTTGTGTTCCCCCCACGGAATCTCTGCTCCCTTTGATCGGAGCAGGGTGGCCTGGCTGGAGGGCCTCTCCCTAGGAGAAAGCAGGGGGCTGTGTTGGACATTTTGGAGTGTGCTCCCATAGGTTGGATACCCCCAGCCCAAAAGAGGAGGAAGAGGGAAAAGCCCCCAGGCCCAGCAGCAGCAATATTTCAATAGGCGATGAAATGAACCATCCCTGCAGCCGTAAGAAGCCTGCCAGTCAGCCTCGTTGCTGCCAGGACAATCTTCTAAAAGCACAACTCTGAGCAGCAGCCAGCAGTGCAGGCCAGACGTCCTGGCTCCCAACTGCAGGGCCTCGCAGCCTGGCTGCCGCTGATTTCTGCCGTGGTTGGGAGCCCCTGCTGTGGACTGTACTCACAGGGTGTCCTCCAGGCTGTACTCACAGGGTGTCCCGCAGGCTGTACTCACAGGGTGTCCCAAGGCTGTGCTCACAGGTGTCCCACAGGCTGTACTCACAGGTGTCCTCCAGGCTGTACTCACAGGGTGTCCCCCAGGCTGTACTCACAGGAGTGTCCCCCAGGCTGTATCACAGGGTGTCCTCCAGGCTGTACTCACAGGGTGTCCTCCAGGCTATACTCACAGGTGTCCCCAGGCTGTGCTCACAGGTGTCCCCCAGGCTGTACTCACAGGGTGTCCCAAGGCAGTGCTCACAGGTGTCCCCAGGCTGTACTCATAGGTGTCCCCCAGGCTGTACTCACAGGTGTCCCCCAGGCTGTACTCACAGGGTGTCCCCAGGCAGTGCTCACAGGTGTCCCCCAGGCAGTACTCACAGGGGTGTCCCCCAGGCTGTACTCACAGGTGTCCCCAGGCTGTGCTCACAGGTGTCCTCCAGGCTGTACTCACAGGGTGTCCTCCAGGCTGTACTCACAGGTGTCCCACAGGCTGTACTCACAGGTGTCCCGCAGGCTGTACCCACAGGTGTCCCCCAGGCTGTACTCACAGGGTGTCCTCCAGGCTGTACTCACAGGGTGTCCCAAGGCAGTGCTCACAGGTGTCCCCAGGCTGTACTCATAGGTGTCCCCCAGGCTGTACTCACAGGTGTCCCCCAGGCTGTACTCACAGGGTGTCCCCAGGCAGTGCTCACAGGTGTCCCCCAGGCAGTACTCACAGGGGTGTCCCCCAGGCTGTACTCACAGGTGTCCCCAGGCTGTGCTCACAGGTGTCCTCCAGGCTGTACTCACAGGGTGTCCTCCAGGCTGTACTCACAGGGTGTCCTCCAGGCTGTACTCACAGGTGTCCCACAGGCTGTACTCACAGGTGTCCCGCAGGCTGTACCCACAGGTGTCCCCCAGGCTGTACTCACAGGGTGTCCTCCAGGCTGTACTCACAGGGTGTCTTCCAGGCTGTACTCACAGGGTATCCTCCAGGCTGTACTCACAGGTGTCCCCCAGGCTGTACTCACAGGTATCCCCCAGGCTGTACTCACAGGTGTCCTCCAGGCTGTACTCACAGGTGTCCTCCCCTCTCCCCTCTGTTCACTTGCTCAGCCCCATGCATCCTCCCCTGCTGCTGTCCTACACACTGACCAGGAGGGAGCTGGCCCTTCCTGCGCAGGCCCACACAGGTTCCCCCTGCTGTGCCACCTGCTCTGACTGCCCCTGCTCAGGGCTGCCGCCTCCTCCTTGAGCTCAAGCGTTGGTCGGCGTCTGCCCTGGGACACGTCATGTGGCCTCGTGTGGTGGGTGAGCTCTGGGCTTGCTCTGTGTCTCCTCAGGGCCCAGCACGGAGGTGACTTCCCTGAGCTCCGCACTGTGGCCCGCAGATTCTTGCGCTCTGCCCGCCATGGGAACCCGTGTCTCAGAGACAGCCATCAGTGGACCATGCATGTGCTCCTGAGACAGATCAGGCGAGGGAGGCAGACAGTTGGCAGGTATACTGACCACTAGCACAGTCACTGTTCCTGCTGGGCAAGCCGGGATTCTGGGAGAGCCGAAGGCAGGAGTGTGGCACAGTAGCAAGATACACTAACCCAGAGCAGCAGAGTGTACTAGGCAGAAAAACAGCCCCGGAAGGTGTCCACATGCGAATCCCTGAGCGATGAGTGCGACTTTACGTGCCAAAGGAAATTAAGTCTGCAGGTGCAGTGAAGGTTACCAGTCGTCTGGCCTGAGTAAGAGGTCAGCTTGGATGATGCGGTGGGCCCAGTGTCGTCACACAGGTTCTTAAAAGCAGGCGAGGGAGGCAGGAGGGGCCCACAGGGGTGCTGTGTGAAAGGGCAGTGGAGGGGCGTGCAGCCAAGGCGGGTGGGGTGGGCAACCTCAGGAGCAGGAGAAGCGGCAGCAGGTTCCTCCCTGGAGCCTCCCCTGGGAACGGGGCCCTGCTGCCGTCCCATCCCAAGCATCTGGTCCTACCCTGCCAGCACCCTGGGAGGGAGGCTGGGTGGCTGAGCCGCCGCTCCCGGCTCAGCAGAGCCGTGGCGGAGCATTGGATCAGGCAGCTAGAGCAGACGCGGCATTGCCCGGAGGAAGGCAGGCGGGCCTCCCGGTGATGCTGGGGCAGCCAGGAAGGCAGGCTGGGTACCTCCTGATGGGTGCACCTGAGAGGGTGCAGAGCCTTGTCAGGAGTCTGGCCGGCAGAGTGCACCCAGTCCCTCCCGTGCTGGGAACTCTCCCAGGCCTGGACTCTGCCGTTCCCTGGCCGGGCAGTCGAGGAAGAGTCCCCACAGGCAAACTCACAGCCCTGAAGTGCAGCATCCAGCTTCGTCTCAAGTGGCCCCTCTGCCCTCCTCTCTTTGGGCTGACTGCCTGTTCCCCCGCGGCCATGACGGCCAGGCCGTATCTTCTCTCACATCCCAGTCCAGCACCTGCCGCCTGTCACTCGTGTCACTGAGGGACTCTGGTGACCAGGTTGACCCTCTACTGCTACATCTGTGCAGTGGAGCCGTTGTGTTCGCCCCAGGACTGTCAGGAGACTGAACAAGGGACCTTAGATCAGCAGGAGTGAGGCTGGAGCCCAGCCCCGAGACGCCCAGGAAGTAGCTATTGAGTTGGGATTCAGTTGCGGATTCTGTGGCTGTGAGCTCAGCTGGTTTGTCCTTCTCTGGCCCCACCTGGGCCAGGGCCCCAGGAGCTGAGCAGGTCTTGCTCATGGAGCTCTAGGAGCTGGACTTGTGAGGGTCATGGGGAGCTGGCCACGCGTCTGGGTTGGAGGCTGCAGTGGCCAGGGAAGGCAGAGGAGAGCACCTTGTGCTGAGCCGGGTCCTGAGGGCCTCAGGGCCTCAAGTCCTCACGTCCTCCCCCGGGGCAGGGAAAGTGTTTCCCGTGTTCTCCCGAGGCCCTCCTCCCAGGTCACCTGCCTGTGTCTGATTTCCAAGGCCATGCCCCTGCCACCTCCATCAGGAGCACCTCGAGTTCCCGGGAACTGTCCCCTGCTGCTGGGGGAGGTGGGTGGGCATATGTCACCAGTGCCAAGGGATGCCACCCAGAGCGTGTGCCTTTGGAGTCCTCTGTGGCAGAGACTGTGAGAGCTGCTTCTCCAGCAACTTTGGGTTGCACGAGTCTTCCCGAGCTCTGCCCTGGGCCCTCGGATGGACAGGAGTGAAAGACGCCCTCTGCTGAGGGGCAGGGATGCCGTCAGGAGGTGCCTGAGGGATGGACAGGAGCGAAAGACACCTCTGCTGAGGGGCAGGGATGCCGTCAGGAGGTGCCTGAGTCCCCGCACAGCCACAGCCACCTGCAAGAGGAAGTAGCTAGGAGCTCCTGCCACAGAAGGCCCCCGGGGTTACCGGGGTGCATTCCCGAGCAGGGCAGGGCCCTCACACCTGTCACTAGAGTCTGCATTCGGATCTGCCCCTGTGCACGACGGCAAAACCGTGGCCTTGGGCCCTCTGCCACGTGGCACACCATGTCCCTTCCTCCTTGTGCACCCCATGCTGAGGGGCCGCCCAGGTGTCTTGAAATCCACCTACAGTGTCTTGTCGGACACATTCTCCATGACCGTTTTGAAGAGCCCTCTTATGGTGTGCCTTGCAATGTTTTATGCCAAAATATATTTATCTTTTGATTCAATTTTCCGTGAGCCTTTGAAATCATCTTGTATTGTACCTGGCTCTGCCCTCTGCCAATTCCTGAGCACACGGCAGCACCCAGGGCCCATCTCCCTGTGGGTCCCACCTGAGGTTCCTGGTCTCCGAGGGAGTTGGGGGCTGAGAACCACTTCCAGCCCTTCGGAGAGCTTGGGTCCGGGCTGCCAAGGCCGGCTGGCAGTCCAGCCACTGTGCCTTTTGGTGGAAGATCATAGCCTTCACGGCCCTCCCTCCAGAATCAAAGCAGCCGTTAACAGCCGCAGCTCCTGTGTTCATGGGTCTCTGGGTTGGGGAAGCTGCTGGGGACTACAGGAGAGCGTGCCGGGAACCGAGGTCCTGCGCCGGGAAAGCCGAGATCCTGTGCCGGGAACTGAGGTCCTGTCCCAGGCTCCAGTGTCTGGCTCGGGGCTATACCTCCTGTCTCTAGGAGGTGCCCCTCTCCCACTTGCTTTGCACAGGCTGCCTGCTCTCTCTGGAATAGTCCATCCTTCCCTTCCTGTGAACCAAACTTGGAGGAGCTGCCCAGGTGGGGAGGTGAGGCTGGCTCAGGGCGGGACCAGAGCACGGCCAGCTGCCGGGGGTTTGGACTCCACTGGAACGAGTCAGTTTTCAGTGGTCAGAAGCCATCGGCCCTGTGGCTGCCTTGTTGACTTCCCTGAGAACCTCTCCTGAACCTACCGTTTCTTTGCTGCCCCACAGTGCCAGCCTCTTGTCTCGTGCCTGGGCTGTTGCTTAGGGCTTGTCCGGCTACCTCCTTCAGTGCAGACTGCCCTGGGTGAGAGCCATCCCTCTCTGCCACGCCAGGGCAGCCCCACCCCCAGTGCAGCGCACTCAGTGCCCAGCTGGGCATCCCGTTCAAGAATGGCCTTGGTGACAGCAGAACCTTAATCTTTCTGCCCTGGTGATGTCCCCGGCACCAAGCACAGCATCAGAGCTGCCGCTGGCCAAGGACCCTTGGGTGGCTCCCAGGCACTCAGCTTCTCCTTTGCAAGGCTCCTGACAACAGCACACGCTGGGATGGAGCTGTCCATGGTGCTAGCTTGCTCTCCCTCCGGTCCCTGGGAGTGCCCAGGACCCCAATTCCTGTCACTCGCACTTTCTTACTCTCCTGCTGCTCCTGCCAGTTGGAGGAGCGAGCACCTGGAGTTCCCACTGTAAGCTGGGCAGGCAGGGCTCCTGGCTCACAGAGCTCAGAGCCTAGCGGGAAGGAAAGCAAGTAGGTGTGTAGTCAATGCTCCATGATGCTACGTGGAGGGCAGGCAACTGCAGCGGAGAGCCCAGCTCCCTGCCCAGCCAGGGCCTCCTGGAGGAGGTGGTGTGTAAGCTAAGACCTGCAGCGTGAGGAGAGCTGCCAGTCACAAAGAGGGGACGCTTCCCCATTGGGCAGCAGCACGGTGGGGGGAAAGACTGCACAGAGAGAGAAGAGTCCTCGCAGAGAGGCCCTGGGCATGGGAGGGTTTGGGTGACGGGCAGGTGTCTGGCATGGAAGCGTTGTGTGGTTTGGGCTCCGGAAGGATCTCAGTGCCGAGTGAGGAGTGGGGAGGCGAGTGAGGGCCTCAGGGAGGCTGTCACACATGTCTCCTGTGTATCTCCCAGCTATGTCTTACGTTATCTTACACGTGACTCAGGCGTTATCCCGTGTATGTCATCGGAGGCTTCTCATGCGTGCCTGATGTGACCTCCCATGTTTCTCAGAGGGCTCTGGTGTGTGTCTCGTGTGTCCTCACATGTATCTTACAGGAGGACTGCACTTGTGTATCATGGCAACAGTAAGAACATCTTCTAGCTGCCGACCTTGCCCGGGCCTCTCGGCTGTCCACGTGTGCTGCAGAGAGCTTGATGCTTTATCAGATACTCCTGCCCCTTTCTTAGTGGATGCCCACGTCAACACCATGGCAGGGGAGCTGCTAACACTCCCCACCTCTGCCTTTGCTCCCTGCCCAGGGTCTCACGGCTAAGTGGGCACTGGACCCAGATCTATAGTCTCCAAGTCCTCACGGTTGCTGTTCATCTTAAGGGGAAAACTGCACAGGGCCAGACGTCTCTGATCCATGTCGCGGCTTTGGGACCCTCCAACGTCAGAGACCTGGCATGGCTCACTGTGGCCAGCAGTGACAGCGAACACTGGGGCTCCGTGACCATCCGACTGCAGTTTACAAGATAAAATGTCACCAGTTAGCAGCACGTCCCGAAAGCGCCTTTGTCTCCTTGTGACAAAGCACACATTCACGAGCCGTCTCAGAGCTCTGCTCTCGCCCATGGGAATCTGACAGAACGTTCCAGAGCTTGCTTCCCCTCTGTTCTCTCTGGGATCCGGGTGAACCGTGAGCCGTCAGTCTGCCGCAGCTAAGCCCAGCCTTCCCGTGTGGCTCTGTGGGGCATGGATGCAGCAGTGGCGTGGGGACCGGGCCTGCTCCCCACCTCGGGGCTCAGTCACAGCAAGTTCTTACCCTCTCCCAGGTCTCTGCACAGGCCACAGGCAATGCCTGCCTCTGGGGGTGGGGAGCAGTGCATGAGGCAGGTGCGTGGGAGCGTCTGGGGCAGGGCAGGACAGGCCTCCACCATTGTCTAGCTATGTGGGGAGCCGCGTGTTGGTCCAGGGTCGCTCCCCTTTGTGCAGCTCCAGCCAGCCTCGGGAAGGGTGCCTAAGGGAGCTCATGCAAGATCCAGGTACAGCTGTGCTTTACCCAAGCCCATCCCCTGCTGGTGGCCTGGGGCCGCTCGCCTCTCGTCCTGGGCCTCTGCTGGCCTCCGGGGCCCCGTCCTTGCTGCAGCTGCCTCTGCGGCCTTCCAGGGGAAGCTTTTCCTGTGGATTTTTAATCTCCAGCGCTCCCTCCCTCTCGTGTCTTAGCAAACCAGTGAGGCTTGCAGTGTCTTCATTTCACTCTGACAGTTCTTATCAATCTCCCCGTAATTAAAGAAAGCGGTTTGGCGCCAGCGTCTCGGCTGCCTTCTGGGACTTGCACGGTTTACAGCGGCAGCAGTGATGGTCTTTCTTGCTGATCTTCACTGCCATCCCCATGGTCATTATAGAGCTTGTCTCGTGGATACAAAAATAGACACCCAGATGAAAAGGTGGGCAGGTGTCTAAACGCGCATGGGGGGCGAGCACGCACAGGCTCCGTCACGGTCGCAGGCCCACAGGGGAAGGCACGGCAGTGACAAGAGGCTTATCGCAGAGTGGCGGTGTAGAACCTTCCAGATTCTTCA